AAAAGTAAAATAGGTTCCTTTGTATTATCAAAAAGAATTTACTTGGAATTATTGTCTAGGAACTTTACATTTTCTGATTATATCATACCATTGCATTTTTAAGAAGCGGTTTCAAATACTTATATAGTACTTTTTATTTGCTTTTTCAGTGATTATTCCTGGCAGCAGTACTGTGAGAAGGTGACTATTTGGTGCTCTTTTGTGGATAGGAAATCAAGTTCCATAGGGTTGGCAGCCAGCTCAGGATCATGCACCAGCATTCATAGCCTTGCTCACTGATTAGCTGTTTGTCACTCCCTGTGTTAATATGCCTCCCAAAAGAGGAAGAACCAAGAAGGAACTTCTTCTATCCTCAGGATGACTAACATTTGGTTTCCTGAACCCACTTCTGCCTAGAAACGGATTGTAGGCATCATAGAAACATGCTTGTGTAATTAGCAATAATACTGTGCATTTAAAGAACTTAATCTGCCTGAAGATCTAAAATAACTTCATAACTATCTTATTCTTTAAAAAAAAATACTTTTTAAAACAGCATTCATTTAATAAGTGTCATGTCACAGTAATTAGTTCAATAGCTATTTAAAAGGACTTTAAAATGTGTTTTAAGTATGTATACAGTTGTCAGTATAAACAGATTATATCACCAGTTCTCAATTTAACTGTATCATCTCTGATCTCAATACTCATTCAAAACCAAAAGAGCCATTTAGCTCCCAATATACACTCGTTTCACATCTGTGTATACATATGTGCACTTCTGAGTTTATATGTGCCTACTCTTTTCTCAGCTAAATCTCCTAGAAAGTCCCCACCATTTATCCATGTTCTCTAGTAAAAGGGCATGTATCCAGCAGGCACTCAATAATTGCACGTTGATGATAGTAATGTAGGATATAAGGTATTGCACTAAAGGTCGTCTTTTCTTTTGCTCCAGGCCCTCTCCCACCACCTCCTCCAATAAGCAGAAATGGCAGCACGTCTCGGGCCCTGCCTGCCACCCCACAGTTGCCATCCAGAAGTGCAGTAGACAGTCCCAGGAGTGGGACCCGACCTCCCCTTCCTCCGGATAGGCCTGGTGCTGGGGCACCTCCCCCACCTCCACCATCGACATCAATTAGAAATGGTTTCCAAGACTCTTCATGTGAAGGTGAGGT